CCTGCCTCCCATCTAAGAAGGTGCTTCTCACAGTGGGGAGGGGAAACCAGGTGATCAGGAGATGCCCCGGCCTTTCTGGAAGTTTCTCCCACTCCGTGTTCTCTTCCTCCCATCACCCTGAATGAGGGGATTGCAATCTGTTGTGCGGATTCAGTGTGTACCTGGGGGAGGGACTGGCCATACCTGTGTGTTTGAGAGAGGGGAAGATACGGACAGACAGACACAGCCCCTCCCCATACAGCCTCCAGCCCCCTCCTCAGTCCCCGCCCCTCCCCCTACACAGGCCGGCCAAGCTCCAGCCTCACCGATCTCCCCTCCGCTCCCCAAACTCGCCAGCCCCGCCCGCACCCTGTCTCCTCACCACCTCCTTCTCTGCCCAGAAGGCCTCCTTCTCTGCCCAGAAGGCCGCCTCCATCCAGTCCCCGGTGGCAGATTCTTGGCCATTTTTTCAGACGTGGCTCTGCTGTCCCCTTGGGTTGGGGACCGCAGGTCCTGCTTGCCCAGGTCAGCTCCGCTGGAGGTCTCTCGTCCCCGAATAGTTATTGATGGTGTGTCCTTTCACTGTAAATGGACGGAAGGTTCTGGAATGGAGGACTGCAGTCACTAAACTACCCATGGGCACCTTCCCACTGCGACGCCTGAGCCTTTCCTCTCTCTCTGTGCCCAGGGCCTGCCCAGGGCCCAGCACATGTGCAGTGACCAGATCCGGGGTGAGTGGGCGAATGAATGACCCCCTGGCACACCTACCACGTCCTTTCCCTCTTGTTCCCTCCAGGGATCTACAAAGGGCACTGCTTCCGGATCAATCACTTCCCAGAGGACAATGACTATGACCACGACAGCTCGGAGTACCTCCTCCGTGAGTGTCCACACTCCTTGCTTCCTGTGTGTGGGGGGAAGCCTGGTGGCAGGTGGGCGGCTGCAGGAAAGACGGGGCCCGTGGGGGTGGAGAGGGTGCCGTTCTCTGGATGCGCTTGCACTCCCTTTCTGAGTCAGAGGATGGAGTTTTGTCCTGCGTTGCCATGACGTGCTGGGGATCCCATGGCTGATAGGCCCATGCCCGGGGAGACTGAGGCCTGGGGCCTGGGGAGAGCAGGTGGGGGGGTGGGCGTCCCCACTCCTCGGGGCTGCTGGGTGTGGCTAGCTCAGAGGATCTGGCTGCTGCCTGGCTGGGGCCGGGAGGCTAGAGATGCAGGCTTGCCCAGGCCGAGCGTCCCTGGGGACTGTGACACCCGAGCACATTCCCCTGCCAGCACTGAACCCGCCCACCCCTCCCCACACACCAGCATTCTACTCTCCAAAAGTCAGAGTAGGTGGCACACTAAGACAGCCTGCTGAGTGCCAGACAGCCTGTAGGCGAAGGCGAGGAAGGTGGCCAGAGCAGCCTCTGATACCTGGGCCTTAGGTGTCTTCAGCACAGACGGTGGAGCCACCATGTCTGCCCATGAGCTGCCCCTTGAGCCCCTGCCCTCCTGTGTCCTGTGGCTAGGCTGGCCCCAGAATGGAGCAAGTCACCGCACATACTGAACCTGAAGGACCAGCCCAGCTTCACGTCTCATCCCTCGGCCTCCCTGGGAGGCAGCAGGGGCTGCAGCCAGGGAAGGAGCCTGGAATGGGAAAAGCAGCGCCGCTTTGAAGTCATTTTCCCTTTCCCATCAGCCCAGACACACGTGGAGCTGCTCCCAGCGGCACCCCCAGGGCCTCGGGCCCGGCTTCCTTTATGGAGAATCGATACCAGTGTCCTCGGAGGAGGCACCAATCACTCGGCACCTGCTTGTGGATCTTTCTGTGTGTTATTTTCTAAGAGGAAGGATTTGAGTTCTGAGTCATCTGGTGAAAGAGAACAGCGTGCTGTTCTATCCCGTGGAGCCTGGGGCCGTGTTGGGCTGTGCTGGCCAGGCCCAGAACCTGGAATAATTCGGCCAGATCTCCCTCCCAGCCACCCTCCCTCACCTTCTCCTCCTCCTCTCCTGTCCCCTCTTTCTGCTTTCTGGGGGCCAACACTGAAGCAAGCGGATGATATTCCATGGCGCGGCCACGAATGGCTGTGCAGGTTGCCCAACACTCGCTTAGACTATGGTATCAATGTCACCTTCGAGGTGCACAGTGCGTGGCCTGCACAGCCATCCGGGGCGGCCCCTGGTGCTTAGCCGGCTGAGATGGCTCAGCTCAAAACCCACCCTGACTCAGAACCTGCCCTTGGCTGCCCAACACAGGGCCAGCAGGTGATTCCTGAGGCTGAGAGTGCGGGTCTGCCCCCGTGGACCCACCCCGGGACTGCAGGAAGGAGGCCCTGGAGAAACAAACCACACCCTCTCCACGTCCCTCTGGGATGTGCCTGGCACACTAAGGTTGTGGGCACTGGTGCTGGTTCTCCCTCTTCACCCCCCTGCGCCTGTCCCCTCATGGTCCCCAGGGCTCTGGGACCTCTTCCTGGACTGACCTCCTGACACCTCAGCCGAGGGCAGATCGCGTGGCTTCCTGAGGGCCCAGCACAGGGGGAATGAAGGGCGTTAGTGCAGGGCTGTTGACAGAGGTGTGGGCACGGTTAAGGGATGGTGAGCCCACCAGGGCGAGCTGCAGAAGGAGCCTGTACACTCCGGGGCTGGACTGGTGGAGGCAGGCGGGGACCTGGAGGAGGGAGCCGTGAGGACAGGACAGGAACTGTGCATGCGGCCACCTCCTGCGCAGCCTCAGGAGGAACCAGGAACGGGCTCTCGCCTGCACTTTCCTCCCAAACAGAGTCCAGAACAGGATGGAGACATGAAATGGGCATCCGAGGGGCAGACCAGGAGTGGGCCACAGACTCGCCACCCAGCCTAGGGCTCCTGCTGCCCTCAGACCCCCCCTTCCCCCAGTGGTGCCCCTGGGTAGGGCCCCAGGGCTGGGAGGGCCCAGCAGGGATTTTCCCAAATAGAAGGATGGTGACCACAGCAGCGATGGAAGCTCTTTGGGAAGGAGGAGTTCTCCTCAAGTGTACGCTCATGAGGACACCAGCCGGGTCATTAACAAGCCCAGAGACTCCCCAGGAAGAGAAGGGGTGACCGGTTTGGGGCAAAGGACAGTTGCTCACATGATTTACCTGGGCCGGATGGACGACTCTGAGCCAGGCCTGACCTCAGCCACCTGAGAGGCGCCGGGCTCCCTTCTCTCCACCCCTCCGAGCCCTTTGCAGGATGAGGGCGTCCAGGGAACCCCGATCCTGGCTTCTCTGGCCAGCGCAGCTCACAGGCACGTCTCAGAAACCCACAGGAAACCTCCCAGAGCCTGCGGCTGCAAGAAAGCAGAGGGAGGAAGAGGGGGTGGCGGAGAGAAGAGCTTCATTTAATGCCCCGAACAGACCCCTGTCTGTGAAGCAGGGCACACAGTGGTGTGCTCACAGAGCAGGAGACAAACGCCGTCTTCAGAGGCTGGAACTCCGCAGACTGGCTCAGCTGGCTGAGGAGGCCGGCGCCTGCCAGCGCTCCCTGACGCCCTGTCCCTGCCAGGGCCACCAAGGGCCCACGTGGCGAGGTCTCTGCTGGGCTGGGAGACATGCAGGCCCATGGGCAAGGCCGAGCTGGGCTCCTCCTCACGTCCTCCTTCCCCTCCTGCCCTTCCTTCTCCTGCCAGGTGCTAAGCATGGGGACCCACATCCCCAAGCCCCTACAAAGTGCTTTATGACCCTTATTCCGTCAAATTCTCACAACAACCCTCAGGGGCAGGGTGTATCCTTTTCTGCGAGCTTCCATAATAAATGACCACAAACTGGGTGTGAAGGATCCCACATGCAATCACACCTACAAGGACCTTTTTTCCAAATAGGCTCACAGTCACAGGTACCCTGGTTAGGACTTGGGCATGTGGGGATTTCGCCACGATTCAGCCCCTTACCAGTAGGTATTACTCGTCTCCCAGGCGATAAAGAGGGGACAGTGGCAGAGCAAGGGTGCAAACCTATCTCTGTTGGACACCACGGTCCACGTGTGTCCCTCTGTCCAGCCGCCTTCTTCTCTGTGACCTCAGGAGGTCCTGCACTTCCACATCCTCACCAGTTACTGGGGGTGATAACAACGAAATTACGACAATAGAGATAAAGGCTGTCACTCGGGAAGTTCGTGCTCTGGCCAGGCCCTCGGCTAAGCTCCTTGTTGGTACAAAACCAACCATAGAATGTAGGTATTAATTGTGAACTGCATCTCACAAATGAGGAAACTCGGTTTTCTAGAGATGACGTGACTGGACCAAGGCCACACAGCCAGCAGCCAGCATGTCCCAGGGCAGGGGCTGCACCCCGACCCACCCAGTGCCAAAGCCTGTGTCCTTAGCCACCCATCGGAGCTGCCTCCTGATGACACCGCTTCCCTGCCTCCCAGAGGCCTCAAGGAGACTGTGTCCACGGCTCTCACGGTGGCCCCTGGTGCCACTGAGGGGCTCTCCTCACTTCTGGTGGCAGAAGTGTGACTCACACCCAGGGGAGCCTAGGCAAGCCCTGGGCGGATGTGACCTTGGCCCACGTGGTGTAACCAGCCAGGCAGGGCCAACACTTACATCGAGCCCAGCTGCCCCCACCCTGCCCCAGCTCCCCACGCACCGCGGTACCCAGGTCCCGATGGGACTATTCCAAGGCAGGGGGCTGGGCCCATTGTGGCTGTGCCCAGGCGCAGGTGGCCAGTCTCACCGCCCTCTCTCTGCTCTGTCTCCTGCTCTGCTCTGTCTCCTGCCCGGCCAGGCATTGTGCGTGCCTCCAGTGTCTTCCTGCTGCTCGGCGGGCTCTGCATCGGTGCCGGGAGGTTCTACAGCCGCAAGAACAACATCGTCCTCAGCGCTGGCATCCTGTTCGTGGCTGCAGGTGAGCCGGCCACGCTGGTCCCCACTGCAGAGCACACCTGGGGGGCCGGGGGTGGGGGTGGGCAGCAGACCATACAGTCTGTGTGTAATTAACCTCAAAAGTCCATGTGTGTGGGCTGGGGCAGGGTGTGGGGAGCAAACGGGTACAGGGTCTCCTTTTTGGGGTGACAAAATCTTCTGGAACTAGATAGAGGTGGTAGTTGCACACATTGTGAATGTCCTAACTGCCACTGAATTGTGTACTTTAAAGGGCTAGTTTTATGTTATGTGAATTTAACCTCCATAAAGAATAGTAAGTCCAGGTGTGCAAATACCACAACGGGGCAGTACTATTGCCTCACAAGCCCATGACAGGGGTGCCCTGGCTACGCTGGGGGGTCAGGGAGGTGCCCAGGGGGACTCACAGACACCAAGACCTGAAGGAGTCGGCCAGGTAAAGACAGGGTGAGGGGTGCGGGGCTGGCCAGGCGCAGAAGGAGCAGAGAAGCCCAGTGCGCCTGGGCAGGGTGAGCAAGAGGCTCGGGATCATGAGAATTCCTGACTGCCCAGCTCTCCGGCTAAGAGACGACAGCCACCCCACTCTGGCCCCGTGACAACCCAGAGCTACGGCGACAGTGACACCCCCTGCCCAAGGCTGCTCTGGGCCTCCATGGAGACAGTTCTCTGCCCAGCCCTGTCCCCACTCTGCCCCTGGGCTCCACATCCTACAGGTCAGGAGGCACCGGATGCTGGTAATGAGCATTCCAGCAACGGTGGTGGCCCTGCCTCCTTTGAGAGGGCAGGGAGGGGACTCGAGGGACTCGAGTGGTGCCCAGCCCATGCAGGTGCCACCCACCGGTCATCCCCCACAGCTTGTCTTCTCCTCACCATTGCTCCTGGGGGGGGGGGGGGGAAGGCAGCTTCCATTCACATCATGGAACTGAGGGCCTAGACAAGTGAGGGACCTGCTCAAAGTCCCTGCCAGGCCGGCGGGGCAGGGCCCCGGGTGCAGATTCTGTGTGCTCTTCTACACCCTTCAGCTTTGCTTCCTTCCGGGCAGTAAACACGTGTGTGTGGGATGTGTGTGCGTATCTAAGGGGACAGGGGGATGTGTAAGTGTCAGGAGCATGGTGTGTGTGTGTGTGTGTGTGTGTGTGTGAACTGTGGGGTGTGTGTGAACTGTGGGTGTGTGTGTGAACTGTGGGTGTGTGTGTGAACTGTGGGTGTGTGTGTTGGGAGGGAGAGCCTGCATTTAGGGTCCACGCCTACAGCTGGTTTGCTCAGGGCAGGGTCTCTGGTCCTCTAGCAGGAAACAGTCTAACCATCCACCCTGGGATCGGGCAGCAGGAGAACGGACAACGCGCGTGGCAGTGCCTCTCCACTACGTTCACGAGGCCATCAGGGGCCAGTTGTCCCAGCCTCCTCGTCTGCATGCGTGACTCCCCGATTCCTCCTCACCCCCCTCTTCCTGGAACTACCACTCACTCACTCCCCTCTGCCCACCGCCCCCCTGAGAAGGAAGGAGGCGACCTGAGAGAGGCTGGATATGAGCACAATGTAGGAAAGACCACAGCAGCAGCCACTCTCCGGCGGGGAGCTGGGGAGCTAAGAGCCCTTGCTTTATTGTGTATCTCATCTGAACCTTGTACTTTGATACCCACTCAAAATTAGTTACTTAAAAGACAAGTTAGCAGCCAGAATTAAGCTGGTGGCCAGTCCCACCAAAGCAGGGAGTGGCCACCAGCCCCTCCCCCGCCCCCCTGCCCGCTGCCCGCTGTGGGTCTAACCTCGGCCTCTCCCCTCCGGCCCCCTCTCCTCCTTCCCTTTCAGGCCTCAGTAACATCATAGGCATCATCGTATACATTTCCAGCAACACGGGCGACCCGAGCGACAAGCGCGACGAGGACAAAAAGAACCACTACAACTACGGCTGGTCTTTCTACTTCGGGGCCCTGTCGTTCATCGTGGCCGAGACCGTGGGCGTCCTGGCCGTGAACATTTACATCGAGAAGAATAAGGAGCTGAGATTTAAGACCAAACGGGAGTTCCTCAAGGCTCCCTCCTCGTCCCCCTACGCCAGGATGCCCAGCTACAGGTACCGGCGACGGCGCTCCCGGTCCAGCTCCAGGTCCACGGAGGCCTCGCCCTCCAGGGACACGTCGCCGGTGGGCCTGAAGATCGCCGGGGCCATCCCCATGGGCGAGCTGTCCATGTACACGCTGTCCCGGGAGCCGCTCAAGGTGACCACGGCGGCCAGCTACAGCCCGGGCCGGGAGGCCGGCTTCCTGCAGGTGCACGATTTCTTCCAGCAGGACCTGAAGGAGGGCCTGCACGTCAGCATGCTGAACCGGCGGACCACCCCCGTGTGAGCGCCCCTGCCTGGCACCAGCCTCTCCCCAGAATGGCTGCTTGGATCCCACGTGAGGGCATCGAACCCTTAAGACGGACCCGCCGTGGACTAAAGCCAAACCCACCCCTCCTGGTCTCCAGATGCGTGGCGGGCTGGCGTGGAGCGAAGCGCCAGGACACTGGCATCCGAAGGGAGAGGCTGACTTGATCCCCCCAAAGAGGGTGTGTGGACGGATGCCCTGGGGTCCGGAGTCTCCCGGGAGGCTTGAGTGCTGTCCTGAGACTGCCCGGCCTTCGCCCACCTGGGAAAACACAATCGAGCCATTCTCTCCTCTTGGAAACAAATATTTCCGTGAGAACGAGCTTTCGGGGCCTTCCCTCCCCGCCGGGGCGCTGGGCCACTGGGGGGCCACTGGCTGGGTACGTGGGGCCTAGGACGCTGGTCAGCTGCTTGTTAACCTGAGGTTCCTGGGCCTGGGAGCCGGAAATGCGGAAGCCGAAGCTCGCCCCTTCCTTCCCTCCATCCGTCTGTCTGTCTGTCTGTCTGTCTCTCTCTGACAGTGGCCTGTTGTTGACATGGCTGTGATCCCGAGGAGAAAGGCCTGCGGCCAATGGTGCTTTGGCCTCTGTGCTGTCCTGGGGCCGGCGCCCCTCGACCGGAGGAGACCGAGGCCTGGAGGGGAGGGAACCCACAGAGGGGGCCTTCGCTGGCCTGGCGTGAGCTAAAGGCCAGAGTCTGTGGCTGGCTTTCCTGTCTGCTTCTGGAAGTTTCTGCCTCACACAGAAAGGGCAGAACACACTGACTGTGCTTTCGAGGCCGGAAGGTCCCGGGGTGACAGGGGTCACAGGCTGGGTCCTCCTGGGGAGAGGACAGGCGGGCCTGCCACGCGCCGATTCGGCATCAGCGTCCCAAACTGCTGGGCCAGAAAGGGAGACGGAGGGTGAACCGGGACCAGAACCTCAGAAAACACACATCCGTTTCCGAGTGGTTATTAATCGTGATTTATTGCAAATAGTAGCCAGGAGGGCAAGTTCCATTCACTTCCTCATCTTACAAAGTAGCAGGACGCCGCCCCCCCCAACTCCCGTTCTTGTAACTTATTCTGTCGTCCCCCCTCCTCCCCCCCACAAGGGCTCAGCGAGGAAGAGGAGGGGGGCCAGGCCTCGGCTTTCTTCCTCCTCAGCAGAGGGATGCTCTGTGCTCCGGCACCGAGGAGGCGGGTTCCCTAGGTGATGTTTTTTTCCAACCCCGCCCCCCAAAGCCAGCAGAGGCATGGAAGCATGTCGGGTTCAGGAGAAACACGTTGTGGAACACAGAGCTTACCCCCTTTTGTATAACAAAGTCCTTTCTTACTTTTTGAGACTTGGGGAGCCGGCCTGGAGGAGTCAGCTGGGATCCCGGGAGCCGTTGGACTTGGAAGTAACAAGCAAATTCTTACCTCAGCCCCCTGCTCACAGACCCCTGGGTGGACTTGGCCCCTAGGAGTTCAGATCCGGGCCAAGGTCACTGCCATCCTCCCTTTGCCCCGAGAGGACACCTCCACGTGCCCCGCCTCCCACCTCCGTGGCTGGCGCTGCGTGCTGGAGCCCCCCTCCCGCCCGCTGACCTGGGCTCTGTGAGGTTTGTCCAGCATGTGCCGCCGTGAATGCTGGGGTGTCGGGGCGTGCGGCCGCCCCTGCCGAGGGCTGACCCCAGCTGTCCTGCCTCACCCCTGCCACCCTTACCCCTCCACACCATGACACCATCTTTCCAGGCTGGAAGGAAGGGGTGAAACCTGGGGACCCATCACCCAGCGAGGCCCCCAGATTCCAAAGCCAGGCAGCCTGGCTGTTCCTTCCACAGAAGTCCCCACCCGCCCACTCCCTGGGGAGTCTGTCCTTTCATGGAGAAAGCTGTGTCCAACGAATCCTACCTCTTGCCCAGTCCCAGGCAGAGCTGGCACAGCCCACTCTAGGGACCGAGAAAGTAGAGAGAAGCCACCAAGTGCAGGAAGCAGAACAGCCTGAGACCCTGGTCTCCATAGCCTTTCTCCGCACACCCTGCCCCAGGCTCCGGGAGGGACCCCAGCTCTGGTTCCCGTGCTCACGGCCTCTTACCTGGGGCCGCCCGGGGAGGGGCGGATGGAGCTGGCCCCCTGCCCCTGTCATTCTGAGACCTTACGCTCCAACCAGCCCTGTGTGTTTTGCCAATTAAGCACCTGTGAATCCTGTACCTACTACTGGTTTGGGGTTGTTAGTTTGGTCTTTTTTTTTTTTTTTAATTAAATAAAATGATTTTTAAAATGTTCTCTTCCTGATGTGGGGGGAGGGGAGAGCACCCCTCAAGCCTGTGGACACTTAGAGCCAAGAGTGTCCCTGAGTCTGGGGGGGGGTGCTGCAGACCCCCGAAAAGAGGGGGGTTCAGCAGGGGTCAAGGCCAGTTTCTCTGGCTTTCATCTGGTCGCTGACCACCTCCCAGCACCACCTGCTGGGTTCCGACCTCTGGGAGGTGCCGTGGAGGGGCCTTTGCACAGCAGGGCGAGATGGGCATCTGGGCAGCTGAGCAAGCCAGGCCTCAACCTGCCGGTGAGGCCGCAGGGAGAGCCACAGCTCAGAGGCCGTGCGCTGCTCAGTGGGGTTCCTCAGTCCACCGACCAGCCTCCTTTCCCGTCCAAGTTCCGAACTGGCTACGAAGTAGAAGAGCCTGAAGTCCAGACTGAGCTTTAGTACTGAGACAGCTGGACGGGGGAATGTGGCCCCGACCAGAGGCCAGAGGGGACAGAGCCACCCGATCCCAGGCCACCAGGAGGAGTGAGGAAGGGAGGGAGAGGGGGTGATATGGACATACTGCGCAGGTCCCGCGGGACACGGTGTCACCCACCAGGTCCAGCCCAGCAGATGGCACTGGCTGGACGTCACCCCCACTCTCTCGGAGGCACAACGAGGCTAAGCAGTGCCCCCTAGTTCTCCTCAAGCTGCAGCCCAGGGGACCTTCCCATCCGATCACAGGCTCCATCGCCTTTAGGACTAAGGCCTTGAGTTTTCCTGAGAGCCATCCCGGATCTGAGAGGCCCCAACTCTTGAGTGTCATGAAGTCCTTGCCAACCCTCGTCCCAGCAAAGAAGGCAGAGGGCCCAGTGTCCCCGTGTTCCCACCCTTGTGGCTGCAAGAACCACTCCCAACTTGTCCAAACTTTCAGCCCTGGCTTTTTTTTCTTTTTAATCTTCACCCAAGGAGTGAGGATATTTTCTCGATAGATTTTTAGAGTCAGTGGAAGGGAGGGGAGAGGGGAGAGAGAGAGACATCCATGTGACAGAGACACATCAATTGGTTGCCTCCCACATGTGCCCCAACCGGCGGGGGGAGGCAAAGATCAGACCTGCAACCCAGGTACATGCCCTTGACTGGAAATCAAACCCGAGACCTTCTGGTGTGCAGGCCAATGCTCTAACCACGAAGCATGCCAGCCAGGGCCAGCCCTGGCTTTTTAACCCTCTTACTGATGCCCCAAATGTGCGGAGCCACCAGGTCTCAGGGCCAGGGCAGCTTAGGACCCACCCCACCAACGAACCCCCTGCTTCACCAGCTGGAGCCAGCGCCACTCAGCACCATGTTGGCACCATGTGCCCGAACTTCTGTGCCTCCTGCTCATTCTCAGCCTGGAAGAAGCTGGCTCGGCACGCTGGTTCCCAGCCTGGTGTCCGCCCGTGGCAGTCTGCAGGTCGTGTCCTGGTGTGGCCTCCGGTATGGGGCTCATGGGGTCACGTGTTTCATTCATCTGAAAACTCTGCCTCCATCATTTGCAGAGGTAGAGCTACAGAACTGACACAGAAGTGGATGCTCTGGTTCCCCAACCAAAACGCCACTCAGAGCCCCCCCTCCAGCCCTGCAGCCCCCATTCTGCCCTTCACTTATATTACTTAGAATAGGCCGGCGACGTAACCAACAACCCCCAAACGAGGAATGGCTTCATACAATAGAAATCTATTTCCCACCCATCGAGTTCAATCAACTGGGCAGGTGAGGGTGCTCTGCTCCACACAGTCACTCAGAGATTCAGGGACCCACTCTGGAAGCTCTGCTGTCTTCATCAGGGGCTTCTAACGTTGCCCCCGGCATTGACACCCGGCAGGCAGATGGAGGAGAGAGAGGGAAGGTGTTCTTGTGAGTAGAGAGTCTTGTGGGAGGTTTTAATGGATCAGGAAGTTGTGACTCTCTCCCCTGCCCACATGCCATTGGCCAGAACTCAATATCACAGTCCCATCTAAGAGCCAGGGAAGATGGGAAATGTAGTTTAGCCCAGGAGGGAAGGAAAACAGTTTGGGGGAACAGCAGTCTGGGCTCCCTGGTCTATGTCTTTCTGTATCTCCTTCTTGCCGCCATGTCCCCAAGTCGTTCTGGGAGTGCCTCCTTGACACTGATGCCTTTGTCTGGGATTGGTCCACCTCTGCGGCCTCAGCCCCTCCTTCAGCTCCAGTGTGAGGTCTGCCTCTTCTCGGCTCCAGATACCCATCTGTAAAATGGGTCTGTGCTACCTTCTTCCTAGGTTGGAGGAGCAGGCTTGAGCTCCTGCCTTGACCCAAACAAGAACCACAAAGTCACAGGACACCGTGACCCAAGCAGCAGTGGCAAGAACCTTAGGAATCATCTCGTTCAACATTCTCATCATAGAAGAAGAGTCAGCCCAAAAAGGAAATGGCCGGGGTGGGGGGGGGGGGGGAGGAGGAATGGGAGGAGGAATAAAAGGAAGGAAGGAAATGTATAACAACCATGGAAGGGAGATACCACTGGCCCAGTGGTTCTCAAGTGGGGGCAGTTTTGCTCTCCAGAGGACATTCATCCACGTCTGGAGACATTTTTGATTGTCACAGCCTGGAAGGCGGGTGCTACTGGCATCTACCAGGTGGAGGACAAGTGTGCGGCTAATGCACGGGACAGCCCTCACCCCCCAAGAATGATCGGGTCCAAAATGTCCGGCTGAGAAACCGTGCACGAGTCTGATTTTACAGTGAGGGAAACTGAGGCAAGGAAGGGTGAGGTCACTTGTGCACGACCACACCGCGGCTTCTTGGTGCTTGCACCCAGGCTGTGGGCGTATTAGGAAATCTCACTTACTCCCCGAATTTCCTTTCCCTGCAACACATTCCAATTTCTGCCTCTTTTGAGCCAAAAGCTTTGGAAAGAGAAGTTGTGGGTTGAAGAAGGAAATGGGAAAACAGCCACCTGCCCTGGGTTGGGGTTTGGGGGTGCCTTTGCCCCTGGGTTTGGGAACCAAATACGGATGGAATTGAAGCAGGCAGCTGGAGAAACCTGGCCCAGCCTGACACCGGACTCGGTGGCCTCCTGGCCCCGCTCACCCGCCTCCCCCATCCCCCGAGGCTGCAATGAGTGGACAGTGAGGTGGCCGAGAGCCAGAAAGACAGGGATCCTATCCTCCAGTCACCCGCGGGCAGCCCTGGGCGAGTCGCCCAGCCTCTCTCCGAGCCCGCGGTCAAATGAGGAAGGTTACAATTCCCTCCCAGGGTTGTTGGGAGATGAGTTCAGCTTTAACGTAAACAAGGAAACAGGAGCCTGGCCTTAGAGTGAGCTTCCAGAGGTGTTTGTTGACTGACAACACTCGAGAAGTTTGCCAACACGGATTGTTCTAGAGGAGTGCTCTGAGAGCCAGGCCCAGCTGCCCAGGTATTGTGCGGTGCTCCCCACTTCCCTGGAGAGGGGTCCTCCCCCAGCTGCTTCCCTGGCTGATGCCCATTCATTTCTGCCCTCAGTGGTCCCCGGCTGTGGATTGGTGGTCAGCGCAGCCACATGGCTGCAGCTGTCTTTGCAGGCCCTGCAAACCCCAAACCCCACTGGGGAGTTCCTGGTCCC